GGACCTGAGGAGGAAGGAGGAGACAGGAAGGACCTGAGGAGGAAGGAGGAGACAGGAAGGGCCTGAGGAGGAAGGAGGAGACAGGAAGGAGGCTGGGGAGGAAGGGGAGACAGGAAGGGCCTGAGGAGGGAGGAGACAGGAAGGGCCTGAGGAGGGAGGAGGAGACAGGAAGGGCCTGATGAGGAAGGAGGAGACAGGAAGGGCCTTAGGAGGAAGGAGACAGGAAGGAGCTGAGGAGGAAGGAGGAGACAGGAAGGACCTGAGGAGGAAGGAGGAGACAGGAAGGGCCTGATTAGGAAGGAAGGGGGACAGGAAGGACCTGAGGAGGAAGGAGGAGACAGGAAGGGCCTGAGGAGGAAGGAGGAGACAGGAAGGACCTGAGAAGGAAGGAGACAGGAAGGGCCTGAGGAGGAAGGAGGATACAGGAAGGGGTCCACATGCAGATGCTCTCTCAGGGAGAGAGTTTTCGTGGTCTGTCTTTAAGAAGGTCCATCACACAAAGTTCCTTAGTAGACACACACACTAAACCAAAAAACCAGTGTGATTGTTGTTCCAAAGTCTCTCCAAACCTTAGTGTAATCCTTCTTTAAAGGTCAATGCCGGCAGTTGTGTGACTGTTTTGTGGCTTTATTTTTTTAAATGTTTTCATCTATAAAGAAATAAATGGATTTTGAGCTGATGAGCTTTAAAAGTCTCTCTTTGTCCCACCACTATCTTTACCTCCTTGGTATTTCATTTTATCTTTGGAGACTTTTAGCCTGAATTCTTCAACAGAAATAGGCTGTAGCTTAAAAACCTCTGAGAGATAAAACTTCAAAAACTGAGTCTTGATAATCTCATGCAGCTCAGAGCAAGCTAAAATGATATTGTCATGGGCTGTGTTTGGTTAGTTTGGAATTTTTAACAACCGTTTATTATATGGATTTTTTGGAGATAAACAAATTTATAAAATGTGCTATTTATCCTATTGAAAATCCAGGGATAATCGTGTCTTTGATATTTTAGATCAAGAACTTGTCATTCACATCTTTTCAAGAATGACGGTGTGAAAAGAAACTCCCATTTAAAGGTGTAATTTACATTCTCTTTGGCAAAAAGGAAAAATGTTCAAAGTAAGGGAATTTTGCCAATGTACTCAAGTATTTCAAATGGTGTCATTTATCTTCATGATTTTTCTGATCATTATGAATTTGTCTTCTGTCAGGTGCAGAAATAAGGATATAAAATAGTAAAAGATTGTCTTTTGTAATTTGAAAGCAAAGATGTAATAAAATCCTTAAAAATATTTGGTTAATAAGATGAGATGGTTAGGAACTGYACTTCTCTTTCCCATGAAGTAGTTCATGCAGACCAACACTCCTGCTGAGACCTATTAAGAAGTAAGAAAAAACTGTAAAGTTGAAGACACCAGAATAACGAGGGAATGGGATTTAACGTTTTGCTGAAGACAATTTACCAAATTCTGAAGCTCTGTAATGCAGGAAGTCTGCAACCTCACGTCCAGCAAGCAGAGAGGCATTGCACGTAAGCACATCACCACCATACGCTGTCCCACAGTCAGAGAAAAGACCTCAGTGCCACTGGAGGGGGAGGCACAATGCTTAAAAGTGGCCAAGCAGCAGCTGCAGTGCTCCTGCTGACAGCCGACTTTCAAAGCAGCAGCCGTTGAAGCAAGAACACATGGAACAACCTCTTCCTAAGGAAACACTCGCCATGTCATGTCCCGTGCCCAGAAAAACTGTATAAATAAGGCAAAGCAAAGAACCTTTAGAGAAAAATGGAAAAAAAAAGAAGAAGAAAAACCAGTTCATCGACAGACCTTTGGTAAGGGACTATCAAAAGATATTAAACGTTGTTCTTTGATACAAGAAAAATGACCCCAGATGGAAACAAGGACATTCAGAAGAAGCAAAGCGCATTTAGAAATAAGCCTGCTGGCGAACCACCTGCATCGACAGCAGCCGCAGAAGCAGCAGTGACTTTTCACGATACTGAATGTCCACAGATGAGGACGGCGGGCAGGGGAGGGGCTTTACCTGGGGCAGTGGTCAGGGTGGCTGGTGTGCGGCTGTACCGCTGGGAGGTGCGGTGGCCCTCTCTGGGAAGGTCCAGTGGAGTGTAAAGAGTGCTAAGTGATTGCAGGAGAAACTGTTTGAACTGTTTCTCAGATTATTAGTTCTGAACTCTTGTTTGGAAGAACGTAGACATGAATGATGTGTTTTAATAGGTCTTTTATTAACAGTCACTTTTCGTAGGACTTGGGGTGCAGCTCCGCAGTGGAGCCTTGCCTCACATGGAGAGGCCCTGGGTTCCATCCCCAGCAAAGCAASGTAATAATGATGATAATAATAATAGCTCTGTGAAAGAGGTACTGTTTACTAATGAACTGTAGCAATGGCTTTCAAGAGGATTCAGTTTATATTTAAATATTTCTGAATGTTTTCTTTCTTTCTTTTTAAATTTTTTTCCCAAGATACGGCCTTGTGACCCAGGCTGGCCTTGAACTTACCATCCTCCCATCTCTGGGACCACAGAGGTGTGCCACT